AAAGAACTTTGTAAACACGCCAACCGTAAATTAAATTAATGTTAATAGTATTGTAATACATGTATCGTAATGTAGTGTATGCATAATTTGTGTAAGTATAAGTATCAGTAGTGTTAGTAGCAAGTACAATGTAAGTGTAATTAATGCTGTAAGTGATCGTTTTGTAAATAAAATTGTTTAAAAAAAAAAAAAAAAAAAAAAAAAAAAACCTGTTTGAGTTCTATGCCAAGCACATTTTCAGTCTTCCAGTTAACAATGTTCTTGCTGAAAGACAGTTCAACCTTTCTCAACTGTATCTTAATGATGACATGTCAGAGTTATCAAAACAGGCCTCAATCACATATGTTGAAAATATTCTGCATAGTGGAAAAACCAACACCAGGACCACAGAAGCAGCACGTGAAGTTCACGAAGAAAGAATGAAAGAATATACCCAAATGCTCACCACAGACGTTTTGCAAGAGGCAAGAAATAACCTAAACAAGATTAGAGAAAACTGCACATATGGGCCACTTACTGCAAAGGATGTTTACCCTAAAGCTTGGGTAGAAAAGAAAGAAAACAATAACTTACCAGAAACAATTCAGTCACTAAAAGCAGATGGTCGCAAACTAAAACTTCAATGGAAGGCTTCTGCCAAGGGAACATCTGCACTGGAGGGACAGAGGTCATTCAACCCAACAGTAATTGAGGGAGTTACCTGTACACCTGATGGACAGGTTCCAAGACTCATGCAGCTAGTGGCACTAAAGGTGTGGAACTATGGGGAGGAGCTACCAATTTATGATCTACCAAGAGAATGCCAGTTGTGTCTACAAAATCTTCCAAATGTCTTCCAGCCTCCAACTACTCATCTTTCCACATCCCACATGTCTGAACAGGTTACACTGTTGCCTGCACATGAAGAATAGAGTAGTCATGAGGGGTGGCTCAGTAATTTTTAAATGTTTTAGATTTGTACATATAAGAATTTATTTCACCGACCACACTGCATGAAATAAATATATCTCAGCATGTATGCATTTTTACACACAGAGACGCATCTAATAATTGATTAATGTTTCAACACAACATGTTAGAATTAACCTGGTAAAAGCACATTGTATATGCCATGTTAGTAAAGTGAACATAGCTTAATATCTTAGTATATGTACATGTAGCATGTTAGCTTTTTGGTTTACAATATTGCAACTGGTTTTACAGGGTAAAAGTGAAGTGCATGGTGCCAAAGTTGAGACATGCATGTACAATCATGTTGTATTGGATCTTGAATTAAATGAATTGAATATTACATTCAAAATGAACAGTAGGTATACAAAGCTGTAATGTATCTGATTTTAAATTGTTATGTATGACTGTAACTTTGTAGAATATTGAACAAACACTGAATTGCTGTCACTAAATTTCAGCAGTTTAAGAACATAATAACTGTAATATTTAACTACATGTAGATTATATCATTATACTGTTGCACATGTATAACTTAACATATGACACTAGCAGTATGTAACTTTGAATGTGATAAGAACATGACTTATGTATGAGTGTTCTTGTACAATAAGCATAACGTTTTGCACAGGAAGGGCAAATCAAAGTGATGCAGCCAATGTTATGTTGCACATAGTTAGTGTACAATAATTAACAGTAATAAATTTAGAGTGGAACACTGGATCTGTTAAAAATGTGCCAAGTTTATTATCCTGTCTTTCCTTATTCTGTGTAAAAGATAAGTAATACCATTCTGACCCATAATTAATCCTCTCTCCCCTTTAAACATTTTTCTTCTACTATTAAATATATCTACATCAATGGAATTTTTCTCACATATACCTGAACTGGTCATTACAAGTTGCCTGTCAGGCAACTTGTAATGACCAGTTCAACAACCAAACTTTACCTGGACCTATACTAATTATTGAATATGCAGTGTGGTCGAAAAAGAATCAGTGTATTGGTCAATCCTCTGCATTCAAAGTGCCCAAAAGAAATGAGCATTAATTTGACAATCGATACCAGTCAAACATCATCTCCATAAGTAAGTACCAACGAGTACCCGAGAAGTGATTGATAAATTGTTCTTGGTTCCCGTTGACGATTAAACCGGAGTTCACTCTCGATCTCGAGTGGGCGATATTGAAAGTAGGCTAATTGACCCTTTGTCACCAACACACCCCAAGATAGGGGTCAAGATAACTTAATTTATATTCTTACCTCGTGCATTGTGCGCTTGCTGTACTTTCGAGCTGCTCTGAGTACATTACATCAGTCGATATATTTCACTCCTCCATGGTATCTTGAGCGCGCGTCAAAAAAAAGTGAATAACTTTCAAACGAACAACGATGGACTCCAAAACTCAGTTTGCCTTGAAAACATGATGCCCACTCCTACACTTGTCCGTTTCGAAATTCCAAATAATAAACACCACGCGCAATGAACGACAAAACAGTACAAAAAATTCGAATTTCTACCACTTAGTCGATGAAAAGAAAAAAAATAAAAGGGTAGAATCTTCAAATTCGTCGCAGTCTTCCCAGTTAATGTGTTAAACTACCTGAGACTTCGTGTTTTGACAAGATATTCGACGGTAAAGTTTTAAGAGCGTTAAGGAGAGAAGTAAACACAGGAGAGGGCCTGTTCTGCGCATGTCTGAAATTTTCCTTAGCTCACGTGCATACGCTGTTCCGTGAGGCCTAACTACACTCAATCCCCTTAAGTCCAGCCACAGTAAAACTGCCTTGATGTACACGTCCTAGAGTCAATTGGGAGTTCTTATCTTAGGCCAGAATCTAGAAGGTGTATATCACAGCACATAGGCTTCTACTGCTCATGTCTTCTGCTGTCACTGCATAAATAATATGAAATTTTTAAATTCATTTAATTCATTTAAGTTTCTATTGGTAATTGTTTTCATTGTTCTCACCATGACAAAATCTGATTATATCCATACTGAAAGTCTCTTTCCTGTTGCTTCCTGACTGGGTAAATAAGCTGATTCTCATGGAAGTAAAGAACTTTCTTTAACTGAGTAAGATCTGGTCTCAGTGCCATTAGTTCTGCTAAATTCAAGACAGAGCTGGCAAACAACACCCTCAAAAAGAAACAAAATACAACAAAAATAAGAATAAAAAAAAAACCAACTCAAAACTCTTTGGGCAATTTAAGGACAATGTACAGTATGCATTATCAACTGTGGGAGTAATCTAGGGAGTTTTGGTAATTTTTTCCATAAGCAGCTGTGGATGGTATAAAGGGCATCTGTGCTTGAGCATACTTGTCCATTACATCCAATCTGAACTGATTCATCTACAGTAGTTGACAAATCAGCTCACTGGAAGTGCAATCATTGGTTTACATGCTGGAAGTCAAGGGGCATGATCAATATGAGAAAATGAGTAGCATGAGAAAATGAGTAGCATGAGAAAATGAAAACACGAACCTTCCTTGTTCTTAAACTGTGATAGAGCTGGAAGTCCATTGGCTGAAGGTTACAGACAAGACAGATGAATCTTCCTTGTTCTTAAGGCGTTAGAAGGGGGTAAGATATTTTGAGGAATGGACATTATTCACACAAGTGGATTTGAATTGCCTACATTTAGGTCCATCTGTCTCACTGGATGTTGATTTGCAGAGGAACACATTTCACTCTAATGCATTAAATGAGGGTATTAAATTTTGACAAATCAATGCAATTTACATGGGTTGACCCAACTCATCATTAGCTAGGTTGATTCACAGAAGAACACAATAAACACTCATGTGTTAAATGGGGGTATGCAATGTTAACAAATCAACATGATACATACATAAATATATATATATATATATATATATATATATATATATATATATATATATATATAAAGAGTAATTTGACTTACGTAAGACAGTGCTCAATACATAGGAGTAGAGCGATGTATATATTGTGGGAGGAAAAAGACAAATGAACTACCAGTTCATCCCTACAGACCTGTTTCATGGTTGCCCGCTCATCAGGGGATCTAATTAAATCCCCTGATGAGTGGGCAACCACGAAACAGGTCTGTAGGGATGAACTGGTAGTTTATTTGTCTTTTTCCTCCCACAATTTATTTATATATATGTATATATATATATATATATATATACATATATATATATGTATATGTATATGTATATATATATATATATACATATACACATATATTATAGATATGCAGCATGTCCCCATACATCAGTTAGTGACAGATTGGTTGTCTGTGCATGAAAGTTCAATTTTATGTGCTGAACAGTTGCAGAAGGCCTTATAGACGGTTTTTCCTGCATACGTTATTCAGCTCTGTCTCTGCGCAAGTATAATTTTCGACATTCTTGACCAGCTGACGCTTCTTAAAAAACACTAATATGGATCCCTGGAATTGTGTGGGTTTGTGCAGAAATCTCTTCAAAATTTTTTAGTAAGACTTAAAACTTACTCACTTGTACGTGCTGTTGCAAGCAGCCGGTATATTCTGGTAAAAATAAAGTGCACTAGTTCTCATTCTCCAATGCCATTTCTTCGCAGGTAAAGAGTACAACTTGCAGCCTGGTACTTCTTTAATGAGCAAATCAACTAATTGTTTGTGCGATCCACCATAGAACGGCTCGATAAGGAGGACTATTCCCTGGTGGACATCACAGTTTTCTGTGTTATCATTGCCAGACGAATCCGACGGTTTACCATCGTACAACGACAGCTCCATCAGGCAAGCTATATGGAAGGTTCTAATTGTCAGGGGAGATCAACGGCTTAGGGAGCCATCAGGACGTTGCGGACGGAAAAGGCCATCACACTTCCCTTGTTTTTAACAATGACATGATTCAATGTCTGTTTTCTTTTCCTTTTCCAACTTCTCTACCAGCTAATGCTACTCACCCTCATCTTCATCGCCTCGTCCGCCATCTTGATTATTTAGCATGTAAAACGCATGTCCAACTAGGGAGAAAATTTTAAAATTGCAGGCTCATGTTTTCTAGTTTCAAGATGGCGGCCCAATCGAGCGAAAACGAATTAGAATTTCCATTCAATACCAGTCGAGAATTCGAACTGAGACTTGGAAGTAGTTTTCATTCTAAAGGAGGACCGAAAACGGCCTTTCATACAATCAGATGTGAGCTCACTTATTTGTCACTTTCCATTCTTTTTCGTGAAACAAAACCTTTTTTCTCATGCGCATTGACAATTGACTACATTTTCAAGTTGTGAACGAACAGCTGAATTCAATGATTTTTTTCGTTAACATATTCATTTACACTTTCCTATTTCGAAGTAATTTTTTTTGTCTTTATTCCCTAAATATTCTGTGGAGTAATAGTGCGTCGAAAAATTCTTTAAAACCCTAGGTACAGCTGTAGTTCAACAATAAGCTCAATAAACCGAAAATATTGTATTAAATAGTGAATGATCATGTCTTCCTTGCTGAAAATCATGAATTTTGGCCTTTTTATCCATTTCAAACTTTTTATCAATAAGTTGTGTATAACCTAATTTATTCATTTGTGGTTCAGTTATGCATTTGACATTTTACCACAGATGACTTCAAACCAGCCTCAGTAGACACCTCGAGACCGGCAGAGCTTGTTGTAGGTGACAAAAATGAGGTCAAAGTCACTGTTCCTAATGTACAGGTATTATATGAATTCATCTAAATACTTAAAACTTAATGGCTGCTGTTAAATCCCTTTAGTAGCCATCTTTCAAAAGTAATATCCCTCAAAAGTTGTATTTTTCACCAAGAAAATAGGAGTAACAGGGTAACCAAACAACCTCTTTGTACAAACACTGAAGGAAAAAGTTGAATAACACAGCCAGCTCTAACTGTGAAATATTTTTTTTCTTATTAAAAATAGTGCATTATTTTTTTTGTTTGATTTTCTTGATTTTAAATGGCCCATGTATGTTTTAAGTAAAAAAAAAAAAAAAAAAAAAAAGATGTAGCCATGGTTCAAAAGTGAAAAAAAAAAAAAAAAAAAAAACTACATTCAAATGGGACAAGAGTCTGAAGACCTTTAGAAGTTTATGGGTAATAATAACTGTAGATTTTTATTATTATACTAAGCTCAATTTTTTAAAACTGTTGAAACATCATTGACAAGTGTATTTGAATTACTTATTTGTGTCATCTTACTCAAGGTCTTTTTTTATATTGATATTCTTGCATAATTTTATAGGATTCTGGTAACACTGTTTATCGTGGCTCAAAAAGAAGTTGTACGAAGGAATTTATTTTGGTGGTAGATAAAGAAAAAAAGGTATAAACCTACAGTAATTACATTGTTTTAATAGTAATGATGTCTATGTAGAAGTTTGTTTTGTTTTTATTGTGGAGGCCTTGACTAAACAGTTGATGTGCTGGACTCTGAGTCAAGAGGTTCTTGTTGGAGACCTGGCAAAGTCAATGTGTTGTGTTTTATGGGCTGAAGACACTTTACTCTCATCATGCGTCTCTTCAATAGAGTAGAAAATCATGCTAGCGAACGGTCAGGGAAAGCTGACCAAATGCCTGGGGAGTAGTAAATACTTGCTGGATCATCAAGATCACTTGGCTTGAGAACAGACTTTACCTTATGCCTGCCTACCTTGTTTTCAATAGGCAATGTGATAATGAGCAAAATTTTTGATGCAATCTCTACTAAGTGGTAGTTCTATAGAATGATGTAGCTCCTGTATCAATTTCCTTCAGACATTTACACTGGAGAGAATTGAGTCTACTGTTCCTCAGCTCAAGAAAGTTAGGTAAGCTTAAAGCTTTAATATATTTTGATACATGTCTTTGATGTTTTTTAATTTAAATTTAACTATGATGAACACACACTGCTCAGTTTTCATGTTATTATAATCATGGTAGTTCCATTTTATTCTTCTTTTAGGTTTTGTTTTATATTTGTTATCATCCATCACACTCAGAAGGCTCCTTAACCTTTAACTCCTAAGATCTGCATATGAATTCTCCCCTCTAGCTGCTACACATTTCCTTGTTTGTGTTACCCTTTTGCTGGATATTATAGGGAGAAATAATATCTTAATCACTTCTGGGAGTTGAAGGGTTAAATGCATATTATGATATAAAAATACTATAATAGCTTATTAATAAAAGTAGATAATTACAAACTTTTCAAGTGTTAAAAGTCAAATCCTGCCATCATCAATTGTTGGTTACAGATCAATCCTCAAGACAGCTGTAGTTAGAATTCTTCTGGATGGTTTATTCCTCAGATCCAAGGGCAAATAATCTGACAAGATGAAGATGAAACTCTGTTTTCAGCTGGATACGAAAGTTTCTGAAGTACAGGCCAACTTTCATATCCAGCCAAACACCTGTTTTATCTTTATCTTGACAGATTTTTATCCCCTGGGTCTCTGAGTACATGTATAGTTCCATTGAAATAAATTATTTTTTTTAACATGTGGGTGCTTCATTATTGTTAGGTCATCAAATCAGTCAAATAAACCTGTGAAGCTTCCTGTTACTCCGTCAACTGCAACTCTCACAAAAACACAGAAAAACAAGACCAAGAATAAAAAGAAACCAGTGGAACAAAAAACAACTAAACAGTCTGTGTCTCCTGCCAAGAATACCAGCATACCTGCCCCCTCTAGCTCACAGGTAACAGGTTTTGCTTGTGGCCTGAGGTACATTATCATTTGGTGAAATTATATTCTGGTTTAAACAGTCAGACTATGAGTATTCTGTCAAAATTTTCAAGCTCAGTTTGTCACTCTAGTTGCCAGATTTCAGGGAAAAATAAAAGAAATTAATTTGTGCTTCAAGAATATTTCTGTGTCGAATTCACAGCATAAAGTTATTTTTACTTAATTTTTTTGCTTGATTTTTGGTGATTATTTTTCACTTGGTTGTCAGACTAAAATGGGAAAAATCAACTGCTTGTGACACAACTATTGTGAGTAGTGTAATGTTGGTTAGATTTTATTGCCAGTTCATGTAGTTGGTTGCTGCATGGTGTTCAAGGTTTTTGTTAATTTGAATTATTTTATATTAATGTAGACTTGTTTAATACATCCAATGAACACTTGTGTCTGTTATGTAATTGTTGGATATTAAATTGTTTGATTGCATTTGAGGGGTCATTTACCCTTAAACTTTAAGTGTGACTAGTATATAATTGCTCTTTATTTAATAATATCACCCCTGAATCACACATTAATGTCACAAGATGGATGGAAACGATCACCAACAAGAAGCTCCTGATTGTTAAGCAAATTCTCCTTGTCAGCACCTTAGGGAATGTGTCGAGAATAGTATGGAGAATATGCATACTGATGTTTGGATGTAAAGGGTCAATGTTCTTTTTTTCTTTTAATTGTTTCTTTTATATTTATCTTTTCTTGCAATGCTATTTATTTAATTTTTAATTAGTTTTTGTTTTGTTTTTTTCTGGTCATTTTGCTAAGGAGGTGAATACCATACCAGAAGAAGTACCAGTACCAGCTGAAACAGAATCTGGTTCTTCGTCTTCCAGTGATAGTTCAGATGTGGAAAAAGATGGAAATGAGGATGATGATGAGTTTGATGACAAAGATGTTGAAAAACTGAACAGTCTTGTCACCAGTGTAAGTTTGATACTCTTGTTCATCAAATATTCATTGTTGAAATATAATATTGAAGTAAATGATTGTTATATTCTTGGAAGAATATTGTATTTCAGGTTTTATCTTTCTTACCTCTTATCCTGGGGGCATGGTTTCCTTAATTTTTTTTTTTTTCGGTACTTTACATGTCTGTATTCATTTAATGAGTCGTGCAATTTTCATGCTTGTTTGTTCATTTGTTTTTGCATCATTTGATCCGGCGTAGACTTTTTTGGTTTGCTCTTTTGTTTGATAATAGCTCAGATTATGATTAGTTAAAGTGTAGTTTTGAATTTATCATGAATTAAACAATTATTAATTAGCCATCTAAAATAAGTCATGAGTCATGAAGCTTCCATTTTCTCTTGCAATCTTCCTCAACTAGATGGATGAAAAAGAGTTTGCAACAAAGAAGGAAGGTTTTAACACACTCTGTAAGTATTTTCAAATTATTTTTATTGCATAATCAAGTGATCCTTTTTTTAAGCTTGCATAGGGACTGAGGTACAGGTACTGGCATGCATTTTACTTATTTGCTATTTTTATTTGATTTGATGTATTTTTCTCTATTGGTTATTTATTTATTTTGTTATTTTTTGGGATATTTTTGGTAGAAAGGGTTGGAAAGGGGAAGCACAAAACAATGGATTTATTACATTACAACAGCATGACCAACACAATGAAACAACATGAATGAGACATGAAACTTGTGATGTAATGATTCACATTCCTTGCAATTCAATTCAATTTTGATTATTGCCTTTTGATTTCAATTATTACAATTCGATTATGCAAAATCCTAATTTTAATTTAATTCTTATAACATGATACACAATGTTAACAACATACAACCGTATACCTTTAATATGAAGATACATCGTACAAACTTGAGGTAACCTAATCACACTGAAACAATTATTTTAATGGTAAGCAGGGGATGTTAAATAGCCCATGCACTTCTTGTAAAGGGAAGTGAATGTAGCTCCTGGTTTTGTGGTCTGATCATTTTTCCAAAGTTCACAAATTGGGTGCATCTCCCAAATTTCTTGTGGAAAGAAAAGTAAACTGCTCAATGCGGTCTGGCTTAGGTCCCCTGTAAAGTGTTGTAAAGTGCATTAGAGCTTATCGATATTGAGAGTGTGCCATCTGCTGGTAAATACATAATTATCATCACTATCATTCTAGTTTTTTATCTGGTTTTAATAATCACAATCGACGACACTAGGAGCAGGCATTTCATTTGTTCAGTGTTATGTTACACGATATGCAGCAGGTGTAACAAAGTCGGAAAGATATAGAAAAGCCTGCTTGGAATTAAACTAACAAATTACACAAAAAATTAATTTTTTCTGACTTCGTCTACTATCTTATTATTTGGTGTATATTTTCTTGAGTTATTATCAAGACGTTGCAAAATGTAAAATAAGTTCTGCTAGCCTGTGAGTAGACCCTCCTTTTAAGTGCTTCGGTGCCTCCTTCATCCATTTTTATGGGTTTGATTTGTTTGCTCCAAAAAAAACAAACAAACAATATAAAACAACAAACCAAATTAAATAGAAATTAATCAATCGTGTTAATCGTAGCCGTTTTGCTTCATTGATGATGTCAGAACTTATGAGTCCTCTTTGTTCCATTGCTTTGTAAACCTTTAATCCGATCCAAGCATCCAGAGCAGCGTATTCAATCTGTTCCAAGGTCAGCGGAAAGTTTTCCCAGTTGCTTCTTGTCACCCGCTTACTCTTTGCAAGTGTGATACCAAGAAAACGTTCCGCCAATGCCTTTAATCCTACTTTTTGCGTAGATGAGGAATGAGACTTTGCCACGTCTTGTGTATCGACGATTCCATAGCACACCAAGCCTCGATCTCTTCTGAGCTTAGACACATCTTGCTTTATAGCACTACCGACTTTCAAGACTGTGGCGTCTTTTAGAATTGAGACAAGCAGATTTGGCAATTTATTCATGTGATGAAGGTGCAGTACTAAGCAGGATGTGTCGACTCCCAGTTGAAGAACGGCAGTCTTGTTCTCGATGCCTCCACGCTTCTTGCTTACGAACTGAGGCTTCCACTCCATGTCGAAGCCAACGGCTGAAGCTGAACAATCTGTGATGTGTGTTCTCAACCAGGTCTCAGCTTCGTGTATGTTTTTTGTGTAAACGACCTCGACTCCTGCAGCTTCGGCAGGTTGTGTTAGCTCATGTTTTGTTGTTTCCACACGAGAGAACTGCTTGGTGGATGGATCACGAAGATGTATTTTTTTTCGCGGCTGCTCGGTAACCTGTAGGCTTCGCCGTGAGATAACGGTGTGCGGGAAGCTGCCAACACACTTGGTGTGGCTGGTGTCTTCCTGTATCTGACGATGCCTTGTTTGTGTAGTCATACCAAGGTCCTTGCTATCCGCCATGTTGGTGGCTAAGAAACTAGTTACAAACGCGCTTGTAGTAAGGTGAAACACATGTGCCCCTAATTCTAGCACAATTTGTTCATCACGCGTTGTTTGTGCAGTCCGAAGGCTCAGGTCACAAAGGCAGGGTTACTAAGCTAGTTTTCAACGATTGTTTGTTGTGGTGAGCGTGAATAGGGTCGTTAGAAACTTTTGGAAGCAAACTGCGGCTTAGCGTCGGTTTCAATTGGAAAATTGAGTTGGTAGTGAATTAAAATGAAACTACAGTATGTGTGCTTGGATTCTGCGTTGCATTTGTGGCCGCCCGGTCATTTATAGCTTGGATTTTTCGCTTCTCGGATCGTGCAGCCTTGAGCTTCTCTTACTAGTAGTAAACTCGCTAAAATGGATTCTTTTCAACATAGTAAGCGGTCAGATAATTAGTGATACACTGTAGAAGTAAGGTGAGATATTTTTTATTGAGAATTTGACTATATGTTTTTATTGTTAACCCTTTACTCCAGAAGTGATTAATGTGTAATGCACCAGTCAATGTAAACCCGCACCCCCCGGCCGGGACATAGCGGGGCATTTGACAAGCGCTCACTTCTAAAGTTACAAAGTGCCCCGCACCTCAAGGTCAGGTTTTTCCTCTAATTGAAGCTAACGACCTGCTCACATCTCCCGCTCTTGTTGAGTGGAAGGCACAGGCTAATGTAAATGGTTTAAACTTTATTTGTCACTTCTTTCAACAGCATTTGCAAGTCTAGACTTCCCTCTTCAGAGATACACATCACGTGTCTCCTCTCGCCAAACTCGACAAGCACCCACACAAAATTTGCATCAATGAACAACAGTTTTGTAGCACTATCACGAACAATACAAGACTTTAATTCAGACCTATCCGTGTACAGACCTATCCATGTACAAAGTATTTTTTTAAATATGCACAAGAAGATAATATAAACACTTGATGACATGCTTGATCGGTCAAGTGATTCTCAGAATAACTTACGAGTAAAAACTGTGACAAAAGATCTTTGTTCACAAAACAATCAATTATATTTATGTGATGGCATACTCAGCCGAAGATATGAGGTGATTGAGATAAAACGACTCTTACCTTCTTTTCATGGCCAAAAGCCGCCATCTTGCCGGACTAGCGATTCTTGACCCAGTCCACCTCGGTGGAAAATACCCCGGTCCACTCCCCCGCTGTTCTTGGATGACGTGCAAAAGAGGTCAAAGTCCCCGATGCCTGCGGCCCTTTCGCTCGTCAAATAACGGAAAATTCCCCACAAATGCTCCGCTGTGTCCCGGCGGGGGGGGGGGTGCGGGGGTTTACATTGACTGGTGCATAGCTTCTCCCAATAGTATCCACACGTTATCCAGCACACAGGTAATGCGATTACTCAAACCTATCGGGTACAAGATTTGATCTTGGTTGAACACCAAATTCTCGTAATCAATTCACAAGGAAATGTGTAGCAGCTAGAGGAGAGAATTAGCAATCAGATCTTGGAAGTTAAAGGATTAAGAGTGGTTGTAAATGTTCCCATACAAACTCCTATAATTTCGCCATGACTCCTATTCCACAAGATGATCATCTCACAGCTGGAGCCTAGGCTGCCTGTGGGTGAAAGTGAGAAAGTAGGAGTGGTTCTTTGTGTTGTTTTCGGCTCTGGCGGCAGAAGTGATCACGACAAAGAGATTGGATATTATTGAATACCATCAGTTATAAAAAATAAGTCTGCCTTCGAAGAGGAGACAACAACAACAGAGAGGAAAGAACTTTACCAACTTTGCCAACTTTAAGAGCCCGGAAAGAAAAGTTATGGCCGTGAGGTAGACTAAACCAAAAGCAAAGAGGCAAGAAAGAGCAAAGAAAAGAGAGAAACATGCTATTGAGCAACAGGAACGTGAATAGCTAAGTACCAAGTACCTCCACAGAAGAGGGAAAAACTGTAGAAGAAGGAAATAAACATTCCATTTCTGATGATCTTACGACATGTGATGAAGGCAGTGAAAGGACTGGGCAATGTTTTTGTGAAATGCTGTATGACTTTCAGACGCACCAATTCTGCCAGCACGATGTCTAAAAAATCTCGACCCACTAGTTTGATCCCTTATGTTGAGTATTACTTTGTTTATGTTTTCATCAGAATTATCCCATGTCACTTCAATACATTTTCATTGTAGTTTTGGATAATCAAGATCAACATTTCCCGCATAAAATAGGTCGGTAACAATCGGCAGTGAGTGGCTTTCATCGATAAACTGGTCAGCATAGAGATCGATAAAGCTAAGAGCAGCAGCTTTAATCTTCTAGGTATTTAGCTTCGCGTACACAGCCTGCATTTCTTCTTCTGATGGAGACGCGACGGGCGAAGTTTGATCGCCTTTTCCGCTGAGCTTTTCTGCTGTTCCCCGAATTTGGGTGTAGTGAGTCGATTCTTTGGTCCAGCGTCTTTTTAAGCTTTTAGGCGGACGAAAAGTCGATATCCTTCACCTTCGAGTGCGGCACTTCTGTAACATAAGTTGGGAGAATCCACGTGCAGTTGGTTTGAGTACATGCGAGTTTCTCTTGGATTCTTGTCCCTGCTTCGATAAAGAATAGTACACCCGCTACGTCTGAGCTGGATTCAGCAAGGCCTGCCTTGCAGCTTAAACGGGATTTCAAATCCCGGACAGGCCTGAATCTTTTTCAGGCCTTATTTTCACTACTGCACAAGGAGTGTTCATTACTGGGAAGATTGCTTTCATATTCACTTATTTATTTGCATGAAATTTCACGGCTGAGATGGGCACCAACATGGCGGCCCTTAATTTGCATATATGTATGACGTCAGCTGCATACCGAGAATATGCACTTGTATCTCTTGCGGAAATTCCCATCAACGTTTTGCGTCCCAACTCCATGAAGTTGAGGGAACTGGCGTTAAAACGCGAAATGTGGTACGAAGCTTAGATCTGTGCAAATAAGTTGTTTCGGTTCTCCGTTTTGACAGAGCGATCCGTTTGATTCGCTCTTGATGGGTATCGAAGTTGTCCGGAGTTGGCCGCTTCCTCGCTCGCCTTAAAAAATACGAAGAAGACATTGCTGATAGGCAGATTCAGTGATCGACTCAGATCTCAGATGCAGTTTTTTTGCCGGATAAGGTGAGGATAACTCTTCTCTAGGCGCGGAATCTATTCAAAATGTTGCTTTAGCGAGCAATATTCATACAACAGAACGGTACTCTCGGAAGCTAGTTTGTGAGACTTGACTCCTCCTTCGAAATTCGGACGTGATGTACAACAGGCGATTTTCATAAATATTCGACTAAGACACTGGGGTATGCTTATTATCTGAGTCGAAGGGGAATACTTAGTTGAAGAGGACGCTGATTTCTTCTGATTGGTCGAGAGCATGTGGTCAATTTGTGAAAGGGGCTCCGAGTCACTCAACTCAGAAAATGTAGTTTTTACCTTAAACACGCGATTTTTCATACAAAGAACTGATTTTTACAGTTCACCTTTGGAGTGACTAAAAAATTATCAAGTTCAAGCACAAACCGCTTCGATTGTCTACGATGTGATGCAAAACAAGAAACGTAGGAGCGGTTAAAGTTTATTGAAAGACTGATTAAATCCAACTATCTTATGTAAACAGTGGCAGCTCGATCGATCAGTAACACTTGAACTGACGAAAATGAGCATGTGCTTTTCTGAGATAAAATAAAGCTCGTTTAATTCACTGCCTCACATCTTTATTTTCTATCAGTCAAAAACACTTCTCTCTCAAAATGTGTTCTAAAGTATTTTGTTCCGAGGTAAAATACTGATCTTGGTTTATTATCATATGCAAGTTCACATATATTCAATTTCGATTATTGCCTTTCGATTTCGACTATTTCAATTCGATTGTGCGAAATATTAATGTTCCTGTAATTCTTACAACAGGATACGCAGAGAAATAAGCATACGACCCTAAACTCTTAATTTGAGGATACACTGTACTATACTGATGTAAATTAATCAAACTGAAACAGTTATTGTAATGGTAAGAACGGGATGTTAAAGAAAGCTAACTTTGCAAAGCATCACTTTAGCATCTGAAGATAACAAACAAAATGAACGACATATCGAAACAGCCACCGTTCTCTATGGGTCACAAGTTTTTTATTGAGTGGTTTATGTTGTCTTTTTCTGCTCGTGTGCATGGTGGACTTTTTGCTTCATCAATGATGTCAGAACTTATGAGCCCTTACTTTGTTCAATTGCGTTGAAGACTTTTAATCCGAGCCAAGCATCCAGAGCAGCGTATTCGATCTGCCTTAAGGTCAGCGGGAAGTTTTCCCAGTTGCTTGTTGACACCCGCTTGCTCTTCGCAAGTGTGATACCGAGGAAACGTTCCGCCAATGCCTTTAATCCTACTTTTTGCGTAGACGAGGGATCGAGAGACTTTGCCACGTCTTGTGTATCGACGACTCCATGGCACACCAAGCCTCGATCTCTTCTGAGCTTAGACATATCTTGCTTTATGCCACTACCGATTTTCAAGACTGTGGCGTCTTCTAGAATTGAGACAAGTAGATTTGGCAATTTACTCATGTGATGAATGTGCAGGACTAGGCAGGATGTGTCAACTCCCAGTTGAAGAACGGCAGTCTTGTTCTCGGTGCCTCCACGCTTCTTGCTTACGAACTGAGGCTTCCACTCGATGTCGAAGCCAACGGCTGAAGCTGAACAATCTGTGATGTGTGTTGTCAACCAGGTCTCAGCTTCGAATATGTTTTTTGTGTAAACAATCTCGACTCCTTCAGCCATGGTAGGTTGTGTAAGCTTATGTTTTGTTGTTTCTTTTGTCATGCGAGAGAACTGCTCGTTGGATGGATCAGAAGGATGTGTTCTTTTTGCGGCAGCTTTGTAACCTGCGCGCTTCGGTGTGAGATATCGGTGTGCGGGCGGCTGTGCACGCGCTTGGTGTGGCTGATGTCCTCCAGTATGTGACGATTGACTTTCTGTGTCCCAACTCCATGATGTTGAGGGAACTGGCGTTAAAACTCGAAATGTGGTACTGGGCTTAGATCTGTGCAAATAAGTTGGTTTGTTTGTCCGTATTGACGGAGCGATCCTTTTGATTTCCTCTTGGTGGGTATCAAAGTTCTCCGGAGCTGGCCGTTTCCTCGCTCGCCTCAAAAAATCTGATGAAGACATTGCTGACAAGCGGATACAGCGATGGACTCTGATCTCAGATGCAGTTTTTTGCCGGAAAAGGTGAGGATTAGTCTTCTCCAGGCGCAGAATCTATAACAATATTGCGTGACACTGTCACGACCTCGTGGTCCGCTGACGACATCTGTCTTCTTATATTAAATATATCTTGTTGGTCCGACATCTTGGTTTTGTATGTGTTCTCCTCTACATTGCCCGTTCTGGCTTGTTACAGAATCTATTCGAAAGGTTGCTTTAACGAGAACGGTATTCTTGGAAGCGAGTCTGTGAAACTTGACACGTCTTTCCAACCCGTTTCAATATTCTTTTTCTTTCTGCCTCGTGACACCCACGTGATGTACAACAGGCGATTTTCATAAATATCTGTCAAAGACACTGGTGTTTGCTTATTATCTGAGTCGAAGGGGAGCACCTATCTGAAAAGTCTGAAGAAGGTGTTAATTTTTTGTTTGTTTCAGTTGTTTCAGTTGTTGCCATTTTTCATGCTAGGAGCTGACTTTTACAGTTCACCTTTGGAGTGACCCAAAAATTATCAAGTTCGGGCACAAATCGCGTCGACTGTCTACGATCAGATATAAAAACAAGAAGCGTGGGAACAGTAAAAGTTCATTGGCTGACTGATTAAATTCAATTATCTTTGGTAAACAGATAGATAGATTGGTATCACTTTTATGAACGAAAATGATCATGTGCATTTCTGAGATAAAACTAGACCCTGTGAGCAGGGTAACTGGGATATCTGGATGGTACTGGATCCTTAGAATCAAGTGTAGTGATACTACGGGTGTCGGACTAGTATACTGAAATAGTGCGCTCAAGTCTGGCCAAGGGCATACACCTATTTCAAAACATAGGCATGCTATGCATGCAAGAGTTACTTTTTTGTACGGTGGGTGGATTACTTGAAACATTGTGAGTGATGTCTGCATTCTTACAAAAGGGGAGAAGAATATTAATGTGGGAAAGAACGAAAATGTCGAATTACCTCACTCACAGGTATTTTGTGGTAGATTATGTGTGTTTTGCGAATAAATGTAACCAAAAATAAACTGTATTGGTGCCACGGATACCTGTTAGTACATAATGCAGACAGCAGACTGCAGACCGAATACAAAATATAGACTGCAGACTGCAGAGTGGGTACAAAATGCAGACTAAGACTCTGAAGAGTTTTTACGTCTAGTATATAACATGTCATCTTACAGCTTACCGAGTGTCACGCAATCTCTTTTCTGCGATCCGCCTTCACGATTATTTGCACTATTGTGAGATATTCCTGGCCCACTTCTTGATGACAATCGATCGCAATATTATTTCAAGCCTTCAATATAGTCTTCTTACTTTGCGCGCGAGTTGGTTGGTGTGATGTCTGTACAGATTTTACCAACGTAATAAAAGTAGATGACGTGAATAACAGTGATGGTAGAGCAAGCTTAAAACGGTAGAAATCGCCAGAAAATACAACGGATACACAGGGTATGAGTAAGTTTTATTGATTTTACGAGAAAAATGTTCATATTTCGAAATATGTATCGTTGTAAATCGATCATACTTCGTTCTCTATACTATTCCTTATAACGTGCAGTTCCTCTCGTAACTTAACACCGAGTCACACAACGCGTGACGCGTTCATGAATTAATCGTTGGCTTTTTCTCGAGACGTGACCTCGGGCTGCCTGTGACAAGACAATTGCGTAAACAATATTTAACATAATAACATTACACACAAAAAACACAGGGTTTTGGATCACGTATATATTAAAAAAGAATATCCATACAACTACAATGAAAACAAACATAAGATTCATAAGATTCGTGAAATTAATACCATTCGTACTGTTATCGTAGCCACGTTCCTTACCATCAAGTGAATCCAACATGTCATCTTTCTTCACAAGCAGTTTGCATCCATTATAGTTATGTTCTTCAGTCTTACGGTAGTAGTGTTGTTCAATAGATTCATAGGTATAGGCAGTTTGGTTTAGATTTCAGATTTTGCTTTTTACAACAATTGAACGTTTTTCAACTAAGACATTGGCATACTTAGCATACAAGGCATTCAAGGCTTTCATGGCTTTCAAGCGTTCGCGACTCAATCCGTTCCAAAAATACCGCTCAATAATATCTTTCAGTGTGGATTAGCCGCGATTAATACTACTTGTACATGCGTCTGTAAGTATTTTGGGCGTTTGCGCCATAATGCTCCAGGAGATCGCAATCCAAATACGTTGAAATACAAAATAAATGACCAAAGGGCTATTGTGTTTATAAGATAAACAAAATAATACATGGTTGCTTGTAGATATGAAATTTCTCTTCTCTTGTTCAACTCGACATCTCACTCGTTCGCTGCGCCCTCTCGTGAGCTACGAATTTAAAACTCGAAGAGAAATTCCATATCTAAGCGCGTCCATGTATTATTCTCTATATAGCTAAAAGGAATGCGACACTAGTTTTAAGCCAGTGTATGGTCTCGTTGTTTGTACTTGCACGACCACTGTGTGTGTGTGGTTTTTTTGTTTTTGTTTTTGTTTTTGTTTTTTTTGAACAAACTTGTAGCTGTGATAGAGAGTTGACCAAAGCGTTGTATTGGAATCGTAAAATCAATTGAATAAAAGGAAACATAATTGGGAAAAGGAAAAAGGGAAATTGCAAAGTTTCAGGTCTTATTTCATTATCCCAAAACAATTTAGTGCTGGTTTGACTCTTCGTATAATGACTTCTATAGGAAATTAATGGTAGACTAACTTAAGGTCTTACATCCTGGTGAAGCTGTATTTACAGGCTGGTTTCCACCACCACCAACAACAACAACTAAGTCGGACTTGGAATCGTAATCAGAAGAGCAAAACAAAAAAGTAACACCAATGGAATTGGAAATAGAATGGCTCTCGTCTCTTGTGATCCAGTAAAAACCTGATTGTTGGCCAGAAGTCACAAGGACCTGGAGATCTTGAGACTTGGCCCTGTTATTCGTTGTTTCTTCCGCACAGGCGTTCCAGCTGATAATTCTTTCGCGCTCTTACGAATACGATTCCGACTCCGACTCCGTAGATAGCGAAAACTGGTTCGCCTGTTTGAAAAGATCTATTGTTTGTTTGTTTTTTTAACAGGCGAAGATCTTCAGCTGAGTGAGTCTGGGAGCGATAGTGATTGACAAGGCGATTCAGCGGTGTCTATCTAATAGGACTCAAAGGATATTTAATATAATTTTGACAAGAACGTGTCCGCCTTGTGGACGTCAATCAGTGGCGGATTTTCACCTATTGACTCTGTAAAAATATCGAGGGGATGGTTTTTGGAAACAATTATCAGGTAGTTTTATCCGTAATATTCAGCGATAGTTCTCGTTTCTAATGGTTCTTCCGTTTCAAAGTTCTCTACAGGGTCTTGACACAGAACGATTTAAAAACGAAAAAAATACCCGTTTCTTTACAACGGCGATTTGAATTTAGGGCGTAAAATTATTTATTCAGTCATGAATATCTTAACAGACAACTAACTGAATATTGATAACCAATGAGCGCTCGAAAAAATTCTTGCTCATAATTCATAGAGGGTGCCATCTTTATTCCAAAAATTCTGCACCGTTTCTTCTCTATTCCTCAATCAATCAATCAATTACGCCACAAACACAGTCAGACGTAATGTGTCGTACTTGTTACTATTCTGAAACAGGTTTATCCCTCAAACAACAATATTGCAAAATAGGACAATAATCACCCTACTTCCATATTCTATACCCTTTAATGTGCTGGCCCTCACTACCGCGCCACAACCTTGCATGCCCCTCCGCAAGTTGGTCCATTAACTCCCAAGATCTGATTGTTAATTCTCCCCTCTAACTGCTACACATTTCCTCGTGAATTAGTTATGAGAATTTAATGGTAGATCAAGAACTTCAACCTGATAAGTTTAAATATTCTCATAATATAAAGAGAAGTTGCATGTTTATTAATTAAATGAGAGTCAAGGGGTTCAAAGACTCTTGTACTTTGACCCGCTTTGCTTTTGCAGCGCACACATACTCTTCAGTCAACATTTTTTTTTTGGAATACAGCTGTAAAAAATGTATTTAAGCATTAAGGAGCACTACACGGACCTCACTTTAGTGAACGACGCGGACTGGGCTTCGTTTTCAGACTGTTTAGCCCTAACCTGCGAACAGGCCCCTTATTGTTAATGCTTCGGCACGAACCGTTTCTTCGTCCACGTGAAAGTAGCAGGCCTTGAGCGAAGAGAGCCTGCGAGAGGTCCGTAAGGGGTCTGTTCTGATTACTAAAGTCAGACTCCCGGCAAACCTCTCCCCGACTCGTCTCGAATCTTGTTGCGGTCGGAGAAGCGTTCGTCCTGCGGCGCTATTAGTAATGATGGGGTAATTTGATATTATCTACAAAGTTGAAACGTAAATCGGCCACCCTAAAGAGTTTAAAGGCTGACGTTTCGATCGTTAGCCCTTCGTCAGAGCGGTTGAAGGGCTAACGCTCGAAACGTCGGCCTTTAAACTCTTTAGGGTGGCCATTTTACGTTATCAACTCAGTTGATAATACCAAATTGCCCTGTTATACTCTCCCACCGACGCAGCGCCACAGTTTCTTCATAAACTTAGCCCCTTTATTCAATAGTAATGACGGCCTGCTCACAGGCTAGTTTAGCTCACACAGCTGAAAATCGAGCCCATGTAAGTACAGGACAGCTTGTAAATATTTGAAAACAAATACGTAAGAAAACAAATGTAGACATGTAAATTTAACTATAAGCGATGAAAAATATTAAAGATGTTCGAGAACGTGCGTCGTGTTTCTGGACAATTTTCCAATCCAAGGTCTATTAACTAAAATCTTCCGGTGGACGAAGGAAGCCCTTCTTATGACGGCCTGTCAATCACATTAATTGGTTTCTTTTTTTTCTGATTTTTGTTAAAATTATATTTTTGTGCTTTTGTCGGTTAGCTGGTTTGTTTATTTGGTTGATATTGTAGTTAGGCTGACACCATATCACATATTCACTTATAAATAATATCATAACAGAAATTTTATGTTATCTCACTTCAGTTAAGACCAGCTCATTACGTGTTAATTCTCTCTTGCGGAAGCTTTCTTTCACTAACGAGCGCCGTTTGTTTTTATTGCTTTTGTTGTTGTTGTTTCGAAGTGTTTATTTTCATTAAAAAACAACACCAATATTGTTTTCTGGTCGGACTCATGGGTAAAAAAATATGACAAACACGTTTAAGTATTCAAGAAAGTTACTCTCTTGGGAGAATTTGGGCTCGTTTCGTTACAAGGATGGGAGTGAAAGTCAATCCAGAGAGGTAAGATATTTTGGAGTCGCTTGACTTCTAAGTACCATTTTCCGTTTGCACCTGTTTTTGCTGGATTAGTTTTACTTTGTTCAATAACAAAAATTAAAGCAAAAATTTGCATTACAAGGGTTTCAATAACCTTTTTTTCCTAAGCGGTTGCCGGCCGGTTATGTAATAAGCGGCTGATCTCGGAAAAGAACCCGAAGGTGAAACACGAGAGTCTGCGAAACAGACGGCGGTGAGGGGTCATAAAGGCGGCGGTAAACCGCCTGTAACCGACTTTTATTGAAACCCTTATAATGCCACTGAAGATGCGGGGCTACTTTTAACGCACAATATGAATCGCAGATACTAATTCTGCCAAATTTCTGTAAAGATATTTTAAAACAAACTCGTCGCACTCGTTTGTGAGCAGTAAGTTTTCTCGGCCCGTTTAGATGGCCCCAAATATTGATCAATGAATTGATTGATGCAAACAAAACGGTTTTTAAAAAAATGCAAATTTCTAATGTAGCAGCAACAGTTGGAACTTCGACCACACGCTGTTTGAATATTCACATCTATTCCATGCTAGACTGATCATCATCAAGTACCTGAACAAACAGAAGTACTTTTGGTGAATTGCTTTCAAGTAAACATTGCTTTGAAACCATTTAAAAGGTTTTATAGACAGATGGTGAAAGCGTTTGTTTATTGGTCAACAGGAGCACTCGCATTTACGAGGTGCACTGTTGATGAATCAAATATTTATGAATTACGATCAAGTCTGTCTTTGTTTATAATCGAAAGTGTACTCTCGCGTTACCCCAAGGTCTGAATTAACATAAAGTTCTCGAGTGAAATTTAATAAACACTAGCAATATCTTGTGTGCGAGATTGGAGATTGTAAACATGTATTCTCCTTAAAGGCGCCAGCTTAATCACCTTTTGTTCGATTTTAAAGGAGTACTCTAATGGATAAAATATCGCCACAGAAAAAGAGCGCGAGAGTACGGAAAACTTCGGTGAACAAGGGATTTTGGGCCCAGAAAGCGACTCGAGAGGCAAGGAATGTCATAGACGCATTTGAAAACTTACTGCGAGAGAAATCAAGGCAACAGATCTTTGGAGCAGGAGTGGCGATCGCTATAACCCTGATTATATTTTTCTACTCTTTGTATATTGGAAATTACCTTATTGCTTTGATAGTGATCGCTGTTTGGGTTGCAACATGAAAACGACCCCGTCATCATATCTTTGTTGAGGTTGGAAAGCAGCGTTGCTTCGACCAAAAGCGGAAAAACTTTCGTGTGCCTCGAGCAGAACATTGTCGACAATTAAGAATAAATTATCACGATTGACTTGAGTGAAGAATGAACAAAGACCACGAGTTTTCCGTGAGAATAATGACTCTGGAAGCTTTTGATCTCGACGAATGGAAGATAGCGAGCGAGAAGTTGCCTCTTAATTATAAAACGATAGATTTGCAGATTTGAAAAAAACAAAAACCAAACAAAACAGCCGTAATGTCGCTTCAAGAAGAGGTTCATCCCAGCTTGATGAAATTTATTCCGTTGAATACCTGGATCATATAGAGACACCCGTGTAAATATTGTTGCAATAAACTTGGATGATTTTTAGGAGATTCATACGACAGTTTTAGTGAACCAGCGTCAGTGCATTCTTTGGATTGTATGCTATTCCCGAAATAGACTGAAATATTTGAAGAAAATGTATGTAGAAAAATCAGTTTAAAGTCGGGGTTAGCTAATGCAGGCGAAAGGTTCAACTTAGATGCAATTTTACAATGTAGAATAACTATTGATGGAGAATTAAGGTTTGTTCATTAAGGATGATCAGTACTTTTACTGCACCGCAGCGCTTTGCGGGGAATTTATCGCTATTGTTGCCCGCAAATACCAGTAATACTGCACGCTCTTTAAAATTTAGCTGGTTCACTTAGCACAGTGAGAAACTGAATACAAACCCTCAAAACGGTTGGTTTAATTGTGAGGTGCAAATGGGTCTGAAAAGAAGGGTGGAAATGTTATTGTTTTGAGACCGTTTAATGGTACAAAGCCTTTTTAATTTTTAGTGAAAACACAGGGTGTTTCTTTGGGAAAAGAACTAAAATAAAAACATCCAACGGTAGATAGATGGTGAAGGATTTTTCAAACCATTTGTTTTTTTATTATTATTAGTTTTTCTTACACCTGCATGTTATGAATGTTGGTGGAAAATTTGTCATATGCAAATAATTTTTCATGTGGGCATTAAAATGCCATTTTAGCATGCATGAAGGAGAGGATATTCACTGTTAAGGGAGCGTAAATTTATGAATTTGTGCATTTGCATATTTTTTTGTCTGCTCTTTTTTTTCGGCTGAAACTATTAAAAGTCTATTTTCCAAACTGGCAAGACTCGAGTCGATTTAGAATCCTTGTTTTTTAGTACTCCGCTGACTTCATTTCAATGAAATATTGATCTACTTGGTAATATTGTGCTTAATTAGACCGTAAAGTTATTTGTCTGGCAAACAAAATATTCACGAGGCCGACTGAAGATCGCTTAAAGGACAGAAGACTTACAGCTGCACTCTTAATTTACAAAATGGCATAATAAGGGTCTAAGGTTAATTGCCGCATCCGAACTGGGAAAAGTATTGGCAAAATAATTCCTTGATCGGTTTTCGTGTTTATTCTTATGTCTTCTTCAGCGAATCATTACTGGGATACCTGTGGTAGCCCAGTCATAAAATGCCTTTGTTTTTTTGTCGTCTTTTTTTTTTCCTCCGCCACAAAATGGAAAAATTGCGCAATAGTACCCAGAGGTCATTGGGCCCTCAACACCATGACAACTAACTGTGATCCAATGAGGTGTTCACATGCTGATCACGCGTGTTATCCCTCAACACCATGACAACTAACTGTGATCCAATGAGGCGTTCACACGCTGATCACGTTTGTTATCTTGATGATTATTGACGTTGTCATGCACAGACAGGGTCGGGTCACATGACGAATCACGAGATTTTGCTTATAAAACTCTTTGGTCAGTTGTTTTGTATTTCAACGTATTTGGATTGCGATTTCCTGGAGCTTTATGGCGCAAACGCGCAAAATACTTACAGACGCATGTGCAAGTCGTTTTAATCGCGGCTAATCCACACTGAAAGATGTTATTGAGCGGTAATTTTGGAACGGATTGAGTCGCGAACGCTTGAAAGCCTTGAATGCCTTATACGCTAAGTATGCCAATGTCTTAGTTGAAAAACGTTCACTTGTTGTAAAAAGCAAAATATGAAATCTGAAACCAAACTGCATATACTCTGTGTAATCTATTGAACAACACTACTACCGTGAGACTGAAGAACATAACTATAATGGATGCAAACTGCTTGTGAAGAAAGACGACATGTTGCATTCACTTGATGGCAAGGAACGTAGCTACGATAACAGTACGAATGGTATTGATTTCACGATCAGAAAGGTGAATCTTATGTTTGTTTTCATTGTAGTTGCATGGATATTCTTTTCTAATAAATACGTGATCCAAAACCCTGTGTTTTTTGTGTATAATGTTATTATGTTAAATATTGTTTACGCAATTGTCTCGTCACAGGCAGCCCAAGCTCACGTCTCGAGAAAAAGATGAACGCGTCACGCGTTGTGTGACTCGGTGTTAAGTTACGAGAGGAACTGCACGTTATAAGGAATAGTATAGGGAACGAATTATGGTCGATTTACAACGATACATATTTCGAAATATGAACATTTTTCTCGTAAAATCAATAAAACTTACTCATACCCTGTGTATCCGTTGTATTTTCTGGCGATTTCTGCCGTTTTAAGCTTGCTTTACCATCACTGGTATTCACGTCATCTACTTTAATTACGTTGATAAAATCTGTACAGACTCACACCAACCAACTCGCGCACAAAGTAAGAAGACTATATTGAAGGCTTGAAATAATATTGCGATCGATTTTCATCAAGAAATGGGCCAGGAATATTCCACAATAGTGCAAATGATCGTGAAGGCGGATCGCAGAAAAGCGATTGCGTGACGCTCGGTAAGCTGTAAGATGACATGTTATTATATACCAGACGTAAAAACTCTTCAGATTCTTAGTCTGCATTTTATACCCACTCTGCAGTCTATATTTTCTATCCGGTCTGCAGTCTGCTGTCTGCATTTTGTAGTAACAGGTATCCGTGGCACCAATACAGTTTATTTTTGGTTATAATTTATTCGCAAAACACACATAATCTACCACAAAATACCTGTGAGTGAGGTAATTCGACATTTTCGTTCTTTCCCACATTAATATTCTTCTCTCCTTTTGTAAGAATGTAGACATCACTCACAATGTTTCAAGTAATCCACCCACCCTACAAAAAAGTAACTCTTGCATGCATAGCATGCCTATGTTTTGAAATAGGTGTATGCCCTTGGCCAGACTTGAGCGCACTATTTCAGTATACTAGTCCGATACCCGTAGTATCACTACACTTGATTCCAAGGATCCAGTACCATCCAGGTATCCCAGTTACCCTGCTCACAGGGTCTAGTTCTAAAAAGATTGACCTGGTATAAGGACTGATTAAAAGATGTTTCTCCTCCTTTAAGTTTTAAGTTAATGGTCCATCTCCAAGGGGAAATGCAACTGGAATATATAATATACACCCGTGCGTTTTATTGCATCGGAATTACGTCTTTAAGGAGTACTACGATGCCGGCTGTATTTTTTTCATGAACTGCTTTTTGAACTGAGTGGCTGTTTGTGTATCAGTCGTCCGAAGCAAAGCTTCGATATGAACTGTGCCGTGAGATACGTAAACAGTCATAATTTGCCGGAAGTCAATCTATTTTCCGGTATAGCCTGTTCCATTCTGTCAGTCAGTGATGTCAAACTGAGGAGCGGGCCAGTGACAAACGCGAGTTGCGTTTGTGGGGAAGGCATCATCCTAACATAGCTAAACACTAATGGCAATCGTATTGATCATAGTTTTGCATAGAAATACTTACACAGGGCGCAACTTTCCACAAAATAGTTCCGGAAGGATGCATATTCACAATTCATGTCCATATCGGAGACAAGAAGCCATATGCAGCCATAAAGACCTCTAAAAATGATAACAGCAATCTTCTTTTTTAATCATATTTTATTAATTTTCTTTTCGTTTTCCTTCTACCTGACAAACGAGACATGCTCATCCTAACAGACTGTTCATCTCCTTTTTGGAACCACTGATTGCACACTGGCCCCATGCTATTGCTCTACATGAAAATTAAAAACAGACAAAAAGATTCATGATCATTGATTGACTCTAATTAAACAATAGAATATCATTAATAACTCAACTCAACACCCTAAGTTAGGCGGTACCTTCAAGATCCGTGAAATCACATGTTAACGTACCTACGGCAAATTGTTTCCTTTCAACTGTTCTTAGATAAGATGTTGTTAAAATCAATTTTGAATTTGAATTACCTCAACATCCGTAGATCTCCATCCTCATCGAGATATGGCTCTGATAGGTCCAAGGATGAATTCTGACATAGCGAGCCGTTATAGGCGAGCTCAGAAAGTTGTACACGATGGTATCTCGGTCGTTGTTGGCGGAAAAAATCTGAAAGACAACATCCAAGTAACCTGTTATACTTGAACAATTTTTTAGGGAAAGCTAATGTAAATTACTGATTGATAATTAATCTTCGTACGTCCATCTTTCAAAGTCGACGTAGTTATTCATGTTGTTGTTCTTGCTTGCAAAATTTATTTACTAATTTGTCCATTTATTAAAGAAATTTTAAATTGACTGCTGGAAGTGGTCGGGGATTATTTGACGTTTGCTTTACTTCGCTCTGTGATTGGCCGCAAAACTCATGCCACTTCCTCAACCAATCAGATATAAAAGGAAAACCAATCACGTCTTGGTTGCGCATGTTTTCCCGCGCTTGAGGCAGTCAGGTCGGTTTTACTTTGAGTTCTCATTGGCTCTTGAAATTTTATCTTCCTTTCTTCTGATTGGCCGTTGATATTATTTTGGTTTTAGTTTTTCATGAATATTTGAATATCAGGTTGAATTTTAAGAAAAATTTGGTTGAGCTAATTGCCAAGTTACAAGTTTATCGTAATGTTATTGGCTGAAATACTCAAGTAGCATGTTTGCGTTGTGTACGGGTATTAGATTCGGTACCGGTCTGCAGTTGAGGGCGTATTAGAGGATCTCATCTTGGTTAACCTTTAGCCGTAAAACGGAGAAAAAATTAGCCATTGGGCGTTAAAATTGGCGAACTTCAACCGTTAGTCGTAAAAAAAAAGCTAACCGCCAGAAAACGTTTTCTCTTAATCACAACAGAAAGAAGTTAAACGTTAGACGTAAAATAACCAAAATTTTTCACCGTTAGCTGTAAGAGACATCAACGCAATGAGACCTTCGTATTAGGCCTCACACCCATTTCGTTGGTGATTTCATTGTCTTAAACATAAGTCATTTATTGGGTGTTAGTAGTTGTTAACATTTGTTACAAAATAGTCTGTTCCAAGGCATTGAGCCAAATTTTAGAGTCAGCGTTCAAACAAATCTAAATGGCATAATGGGTTTAAAATTCATCACAGTATCAGCGGAAACGATTATTTGTCATAAAGATCTGTTTTTCCACTTGATCGTTCAGTTGTAGGAGGTTTGGCACTCAATTACAAGGCCCTTTATCGATGTCACAATTCGTTTCTAACCCGGTATAGTTACGTTCTGCTCGCCTTAACTTTTGCGGAACATTGTAAAATCATAACTCACCGATGTAACGCATAAAAAATTTACAGATCAAAATCCAACATACTTTGTCGGCGCCTTGCTCTTTGTAAAACTGAAAGGTTGAGCCATTGTTGCTGAATTCTACCTTGTAACTTTTCACCCACTGGGAGTTCCCATTTCTTCCTTGCGTTGCAAGATGTGTCACTTTTCTGACCTTCCCAAGATCTACTTGAAGCCATTGGTTCTGATTGTTTGCTTTAGCAGACCACCCTCCTTGCTTTCCTCCTCCTGCTTGAAAATTCAGTCGTCCTTGAATGGCTGCGTGGTTGGCATCCCACTGAGATGAAGCAGATATCTGAGCATCGGATATGGCGCGACTTTCCATTCCGAGAGGTGAGTGGCACCCTGGGGGAGGAGAAGAGGAGACAAGCAAATAATTGTTCAACGAGTCCATGAAATGCATGTCAATCGTATGCTCTGTTCGACCTGATGAGGGTGGGCCTTAACAGGACTGTTAAAAGTAGAAGTGACTGCCGTTTCGACGACCTTAGCACGAGTAATCATCGGATCGGAGTCAGTCGAGTGTTAGAAGTCTGATTCGTGAATACTGATTGGTCGGTTTTAATACGATCTTATTGGCTGGAAAGCGCAAGTGTCTTAAGTCATTCGTGATTGGTCAGTTTCTATCCTTCGGCAGTTACAACGCACTGTTTGGTTTTTGCGTTTTATCTATGTTGCACATGAGGCGATCGTTTGGTCCCAGTAGTTTTTGACATCTGTTAAGATGAGCCTTTCCATGTATCTGTCTGGCGATAATCTAATTTGCATTTGGTTATCTAACAGAAAAAATTGCCACGAATTAACATGAAGTAGTAAACGTGTTTCCCAACACTCATCACGTTGACGATAATATTCACCACTTGACACTTTTCCCGGTCTTCACAAAAGTGACAGAAAGGGCCTCTGGGTAAACTTTCATATTTTGGCCCTTGGGAAACATTTTCATGACAACAAAGACAGCCCTGACCCACAGTGCTCAGTCTTCGTACAAATATGTAGGATTGCTGGTTAAAGGGTTGATAAAATAATAACAATAGCCAACTCAGACTTGTGATGTATCCCACGGTCTTTAGGCAGAGCGCTAGAACACATGTAAGAATCTGGTTTCTGACTGCTGGTTGCTTGCCTTCGCCGACGTCTTTCAGCTAAGTTCCGAAAGTGTATGGTTTCACTATTTGCCCTCCAGTTGAAGCAAATTTGGCTGGCAAAATGAGAGGTGTATTACCCGTAACTTTCTACTTAAAAACTCAAAATTGATCAAAAAAAAAGAGGGATTGCAAATGAGAAAATCCATCCAGTAAGGGAATCCACGCGGTTGGTGATTAATTAGGAGTTAATTTTCGAAAGAAATTTATATTTTTGCTATTACTCTGAGGATTTTTAGTGCGGGGGTTCCTCACATTTTCCCGCGCGTGGGTGAATTTGGCTGTTTTAACTCACATTTCTCAGTGGCTCATTATTTTCCTTTGTCCTTATTGGTACCTAAATAAGTCTCTATTTTTATCCTAAGTTACCTAAACATCCGTACAGCTCCATCCTCATTGAAATGTGGTTATGCCAAGTCCATGGAATGACCCGGATGTAACGCACCTTCCTGGGAAGGGTTAGCTTGTGATATACAACTGTGTCTCTGTCTTTGTTTGCTGTAAAAACCTTAAAAGAGAGGATGCTTATGAAACCACAAAATTTACGTCTACCATTCAAAAGTATAATTATATTATATTTTGAAATTAAAGGGACTGCGTTTTGAGCTTCGAAAGATTTACCTAACTTGCAAAGATTTTCTTCAAATATGCTGAAAGTTAATTATTGTCTATGTCGGCGTTCCAAGTGAACGAAAGACGAAAATACATTGGTTTGGACGGGATCTAATTCTCAAATCGCCAGGGCCTGTAAGGACAATCCTCAACATCACATTCTTCCTTAATAAGCTTGGGCTTAGACTTAAAAAGTTATTACTTTAGGAGTGGAGCATGAATCAGCGCTGGTTTATGGCCCTACATACAAAAAATAAGACGCTATGATAATGCGCTGCAAATGTTTATACAAACTCGTAGTGCTGTTTTTCGTTTGAACTTAATGGCTTTCGAAATTCAAGATAATCACGCATTTGAAAGCCTGAATCGGTTTTCGTTTCATAGAGCCTACAGGCTGCCATCTGTACGAACTAGAAATTAATAGCCCCTACATAGCTTATCGAAGCGTTTAGAGACACATAATATTTCACTGCCGCATGCCTTGTCTATGTTGCTTCCTGGATCTCTGTAATACTGAAAGGAGCTGTCATCATTGCTGTAGTCTAACTTGTAACTAGTCACCCACTGATTATACACGTTCCTTCCTTGGGTCCCTATAATCTTAATGTCGCTTTCGTAGCCTAGATCCACTTTGAGCCATTGATTTTGATTGTTAGGACGGGCTGACCAAGCCCCCTGCTTTCCTCCGCCGGCCTTGAAGTGCAAACGCGCCTGTACTGCAGCATGGTTCGCGTCCCATTGAGAAGAAGCTGTTATTTGGGCGTTAGTGATGAAACCTCTTTCCATTCCCAGTGGTTTTTGACATTCTGAGAGAGATGTCAGAGGAATTGCATTAGCTTCATGACAGGACGGATAATGCGTGCACTGTAAGTACCTCCCGTTGTCCCATACAAAGCCTTAGAAAACTTTTCTAAGGCTTTGTATGGGACAACGGGAGGTACTTACAGTGCACGCATTATCCGTCCTGTCATGAATCTACTAATGGCCAAAGTTTAAAGTCCAATACTTATAATCAACAAGTAATCGGATACGCAGCGGTCATTACTTTATTAATGATAAATGTAATGATAATAATTCAAAATGAATAATGTATATTTGATCGATGGTTGATTTCGGATTTATTAAGATTCACGGACTATTGGGTTTGCATTTTATTTTGCCCAAAAGTAATGGTTCCATGTTGGAAAGGGGAGAAGGTCATGAAAAAAAAAAGATAAATTGGTTGCAAATGATAAAGGCAAGGTTGCGTCTGAGTAAAGTGACTCACAAGCCGACGGGGGCCTATCCCTAGCCTCCGTAGCATCAAGGGAACAGGGGTACTGCCAGCCCCCCTTCCCTGGAAGGGACACCAGTCCATTACAAGTCACTCCCTTCCTCCACAGTCATGATTTCGTCAGGTTTCCTTGAAAGTTCGCCAGCACCCATTCACACTCCTGGGTTAGGAGAAGCACCATGGAAGTAAAGTACTCCGCCCAAGCAAGAACACAACACAGTATCGCGGTTGTAAACGTTGAACTAGAAAAATTTGATCTAATTTCGCTGAATGCCTCAATCGTGATCTAGATCACTTATTTACCTGCAACCTGAGTTTTGGATCGTATGGCCTGTATTTGCTCCTGTGATAAGGCTACATTATAGACCTGCATCTGAGCAATCCTTCCCTTGAAGAACCTTCCGTCTCCTATTTTTACTCCCATTCTGACACTATCCTGAGTGGCTAGGAGAAGATTTGTACCAATATTCAATTTCTGGACCTCGTTCCCGTCAACCCACAATTTTGCGTCGCCAGATGAGCTGTCATACGAAGCACCAACGAACTTCCATCCATCCTCTGGTTTCAGTTCAGTGTGTAGCAAGGCGTTTGTAAATGAATAATCTCTTTTAGTAAAGCGTACAAAAAGTTTGCCGGCGACAACCCAGAGATGGACTCCCCAACTTCCGGTATTCCTGTAGTTGAAGAGGGGACCGTCCTGGCCTCCCGGAAACAACCAACACAGCATCGTCATGGAGTTCTTGGCATCTAATCCTGCACCATTCGGGAACTCAATGTAGTTGGCACTAGTTCCGAGGAATTCGTAAGAGCTGTCAATATTTCCATCCGGTCCGGGAGCAAGATAAACATTACTGGCAACTCCAGCCCCTAATCTGTCTCGGATTTCCTTGGTTCCATGAGCGGCATCGAGAGGATACAGGGCGATTGGATCTAGATTTTGATGGAAAAGAAGTCTTTTTGTTTGGGAGTATGATGAATGGAACTCAGAGTCAATCGATAAGCGCACAAGCACTCCTGTCTCTTGAGTAGCCCCCGCGCCGATTCAAAGCGGCTCTGTCTAAGGATTGGCCAATACGGGCAAGAGGAATAGAAGTAAAGTGGACAAAGCGAAGTGGACCACTCACAGAGCCGCTTTTAAATCGTCGTAGGTCTGTCAACATTTTCATACAAATATATGATACATATTCAAAACGTAAGTACACTGTGAGCTTGTGAATGATCTGGCAATGTAAAAAAAGGGTTTGGCAATCTTCCCAGCGTAATTGAATGGTAGTATTAGCTAAACCATTAGTACTAAGTAAAAAAGGAATAAACAGCTTTATTTAAGGAGGGTAGCACACAACAGTAATTCAACTGATGAACTAGTGGTTTCCGATCTTAAAAGTACCATGAATAGAATTAAAATGTATTCGAGGATTATAAAACTGGTCGACAGGTCTATAAGAATATAAGCTAAGAACTAAATGAACTTAAACATGCCGCTTAGGTCAGGTTTAATCGCATTCGGACTAAAATGTTTTACTTCATCATAGCTCGTTGAAAAAATGTCTGTGAAAGGCCTTTCTTAAAGACACAACTACTGTCGCCTCTTTCTTCAGGTTAATGGGTAGTTGGTTTCACAATCTTGTCGCAGATACGCTAAGAGTCTTCCCTCCCTCTGTTTCGCGATTGAAACGAAGGCAGGCGAGATTCAATTTACCAGTTCGTGTGTGTAGGTCTGCATTAAATTTGATTAGATCGCACATATAAGCAGGACAGCTTCATTGTAAACGCTTAAAGACTAAATTACTGTTATTTAACTTAACTTCGTCGTAGAAAGCCGGGAACCACGTTAATTTCTTAAAGAGTTTCACACTGTAATAAGGTTATGACACAACTATAATTTTTATATTTTAATTTTTGATGTAAAAGCATAGCAGTTCATCTTTCTTCAAACGGAGCCAGACTCAATGAAGCTTCTGAAGTTTTTAAAACAAGGAAAAGATTTTGCTCGTGCCAAGTAACCTTTAACATTCCGCCATTAATTTATCGTTCGAAATTTGACTTAGTGCGCTTGTTATAAAACAAGTTGAGGCTTCACCAGCATGCCAGTTTTTGATAGATAATTTACAAAGTGATCTGAATCTTATTAAATTTCGTGAGGTTTGCGATAAGAATAAATCCTTGTTTCTTGTTTCAATATAGTGATGCCGACATATTTGGAATTCACTAAATCAAAATCAAATATTCTCTTTAGTAGAGTGACGATAGTAGGTCAAAAATGTAAGTAAACAGAGAAATACATTGAACATATTGATATCTCTTTACTGACCTTGGACGACAACCTCTGCTTCACATTCATCTGTATAACGGTATAAAACAAAAAACAGAATCAGCAAAAACGCGCAACTTAAAAAAAAAGGTTACGGAAGGATTGAGTTTGAAATTTTTATTTCATTGATGGTCATTTTCATGACGAAGTGAATTTATTGTCATACGATATGGCTCATAAGTAGATCAGTTTGGTTGGCTAGGATAAACGATTTTTGACAAGCTGCCATTGAAGTCGCTAAGGAAAAGTTTATTTCTCATATAAGGTTGATGAATATTTCTATAGGAGCATTTTTTTCTGGTGTAGGATAGTAAATAGACAAACTTTATATGGATAGGGTACATAATTACAGCCAAAGACTGCAGTCTTCCTTACAACCCTACAAATATATATTAAACTATACAATCTCTTAATTATAAGAGTACAACAATGTTCAATTAAAATGGAATAAAACTAAACTAGCATATCAATATTTCAAAGCTGTCGGGCGTGAATCTCCCTAAAGTAACTTCTTTTAAATTAAATTTCTTCACAGTGGAAAAGAACACGAAATCATAAAAACTGTCCCACAGTCTAAAAGTATTAAAAAGATAAAAAAAAAGCATTTGAATGGGGCGTAGTTTTGACGTTTCAACATTTCTATACAAAATTGATAAGCTTAATGAAGCTTGATATAATGTTGTAAAGATGACTTCGGGAGGCTGTTTTTTTCTGATCAGTTATCTTTTAAACGGAATCATGGAAACAAAATAAATACCTTGAGCATTCAAATTAGCAGCGTGAAGAAGGAGCATGGTAAGGAACAGCAACATGTTGTTTTGAAAACAAACTCACTCAATAAGTGGGATCCTTGCTTGGTTTTTAATCGACTCTGAGATACTAGATAGTGTGAGCTGACAAACAGACCTGAGTATCATCAGTGAGTAATGCTTAATTTTTTCCTTACGCAAAAAGGATGTATTTACACAGTTTTGCAAACTGTCAGTTAAAACGACTTTGATATTTGAGCCACCTGAAACATGTGTTCAAACAAATACATTCAAATTAGAGCACGAGCAGAAACGAAGGCAAACTTTTCGAATTATTCTGCTCCAAAAATTACAAAGTTTCAACAATTTACGTTGAAAAGTGAATCCTATTACCACCGATTTTAACCTGTACGAGGTAAAGAAGGACAATAGGGATTGCGTGTTTTAAGTTTCATCAATTTAAGTTTCATATATAATTAATTCAAAAAAAGATAAATAGAATTGGTGTCTTTATGTACACGGTTGGTGAAAGAGTAACAGTTGTAATAATGAAGATTGAGAAAAAAATCTAATCGGCAAGACATTCCAAAATGCCTTAGTTGTGACCCAGTTACCAAGAGATTTTGTGTTGGGGTGTTAGGGGAAAATAACCGCAGCAACCCCGCCGTGCGGAAGATTCGGAGAATCTTGGATCAACAAAGCTTCCTCTTAAATGTACCGCTGCCTTGCTGTTACAACGTCTTCAGAATATCCCCTCACTCTCCTCATTTCCCGATAAAAATTAAAAAGCTGCGTGCTTATATCCTCATTTGTTAGAGTTTTCGAACCTTGCAAGTTGATACTATTCAGAAATCAAAGAAAAGTAGTCTACTTATTGTCTCCGGTAAAATTTTTGCTGAGAGACACTGGTTAATCAACGGTTTATAAATTGTCTATCTGTGACTGTGATCGTTCATTTCTTTTTTCACTTTCAACTTAGGAAAAAATTCTTATCATATTAGTTGGGAGAATTTGATGTCGGATCAACTAATATTCACCTGATTTATATTTTTAACTATTCTCACCACTTGCCTTCTTGATATTGTACTGATATTGTATTGATATTGTATTGATATTGTATTGATATTGTATTGATATTGTATTGATATTGTATTGATATTGTATTGATATTGTATTGAAAGAAATCATACTTATGCTGGAAAATGAAACACAGGCTAGGAGTAATACCCTCTTAGCTTAAGAAAACGCTACCAATTTGCTGCGAGGATTATTCAGCTCTATAGGACTGGATCCAAATGCAAGTAAATCATTGAAATGCTTAAGAACGTACACGATTTAGAGTAGTCATAGGTCAGGTGATCACCCTCATTCCTCTAATTCAACTGTATTTTATTCAATAATCAAGATAATATATTTAGCGTACAATACTCGTAATTAGTTATTTTACTTTCACATAGAAGAGTAGAAGTTCCCCACAGTAGTGTCGCCATGTGACCTTATGTAACGCAATACACTACACACGAGTTGCATGTAAAACCTTATCTCAATATGACTCAGAGGCTGATTGGTTACTTTGAAACGCCTTGCAAACTTCGAATTCAATTGCTCGCTCAGTTTGATAGTCAAAAAGTCAAGCATGATATTGGCAGTAACTTTTGCTGAAAAACTTCAAATGAATATGAAATCGGGCGAGGAGATGAGGTATGATCTCGTCGATTAGCGTCCTTAGTTAGGAGACAATCTTTGTAGTTGCGTTTTCTGTCTTGTTCGAAATGGAGAAGGTCGCAAATGCGCGGCATCCATTTGCAAGCCTTTTTACCCTTTAGCTAAGCTATTTTTCCTTCGCCTCTTCCCATGAGACCCCGCTCGCCTCAATCCATCCTCGTATCCAATCTTTTCTCCCCACAAAACACGTAAATAACGACTGGGTACGAGTCTACCTTTAATGAAGCCAAAGATCGAAATTGATTCAAAAAGACAAATGAATAATGGGGGTAAGTTTCTAAAGAAACTATGGTGCTGCGTCGATGGGAGAATATAACAAGGTAATTTAGTATTATCAACTGAGTTGATAAAGTAAATTGGCCGCCGTAAAGAGTTTCAAAGCTGACGTTTAGCCCTTCGTCAGAGAAAAAGGCGAAGGGCTAACGCACGGAACGTCAGCTTTGAAACTCTTTGCGGTGGCCAATTTACGTTATCAACACAGTTGATAATACTAAATTACAATGATTTAAAAAGAGACTACTTAAACAGCTCTCTCCTCCACGCGCGCTGGTTACAGAGAAATATGCTTAGTTACCTAGGTGCAATTATTCCGAAGAATGCTCCCGTAAAAAAATTAACAACTCTAACTTGTCATGGTTTTGGTCCATCCAAAAGTGATCCGAGGACGAAGACATTCTATTTCACTGGCAGCAACTCCTCCAAACTCTAGAATGACTACAAACACTAAATGGACAATCTTGGAATGGAAATCTACCTGTATGTCCAATATTTTTATTGCGCTTGAGCTTACGGACAGAGATTGCTTGAAATTCAAAAGCCTAATTTGGGTGGGGCATGCACGGCAGTGAATTAAATTTCTTAGTAGATTTTCAATTCAAAGAATCATGCAAGAAAAGATACGCACGATTCTTAGCATTTTTTTTTTCTATCGAGTGCTTGACTTTTTTCCTCACTCAGTCTTATAAAAAAAAGTTTAAGTTGCTGGGAAAAGTAACAGCGAGAGTGCTCGGAATGACTTCATTCTTCTAAGATTTCTAGGGCTTTTAGTCTATGCGCATTGATAACAACTTACACAATCCAATCAAACAAAACGAGACACTATTCCGAATTTACTTCCCGCCTCAAGAAAATTGTTAGCTCTTAGCGAAAATGAGGTAATACCTAGACGGATAAGATGGCGCAGTTGGGGTCGATGTCATGGAAAAACTCGCGAGGGCTTCACGACAAAATTGATATGCCTCATCCTTACTTGGGGACCAAGACTAGTGCACAAACTGCACCAAATACAACAATGTTATACTTTCATCCACAAAATTCTGTTTGCCGGCTTAAGACACTGTAGCTTGTCAAAAGAACTATGAAAACATTTTCAATTACGTACCAACGAAATTTTTCTTTTAGCATTCCTGCACCGATCACTGTGGTAAGTCGTGATTTAAAATTTGATTACTATTAATAACCTGGCTTCATTCCTCAAGTTTACAATTTTAAATTTATTTAAGTCCTTTCAATTAATAACTGTTCTCGTGCTCGTTACTTTTCTGCCAGCGGTATCAGCACAGCAGAGTCATAATTTTCATAAAATCCTCTGTAGTATTCGCCATTTATTTCTCATATAAGGTTGATGAATATTTCTATAGGAGCATTTTTTTCTGGTGTAGGATAGTAAATAGACAAACTTTATATGGATAGGGTACATGATTACAGCCAAAGACTGCAGTCTTCCTTACGACCCTACAAATATATATTAAACTATACAATCTCTTAATTATAAGAGTACAACAATGTTCAATTTAAATGGAATGAAACTAAACTAGCATATCAATATTTCAAAGCTGTCGGGCGTGAATCTCCCTAAAGTAACTTCTTTTAAATTAAATTTCTTCACAGTGGAAAAGAACACGAAATCATAAAAACTGTCCCACAGTCTAAAAGTATTAAAAAGATAAAAAAAAGCATTTGAATGGGGCGTAGTTTTGACGTTTCAACATTTCTATACAAAATTGATAAGCTTAATGAAGCTTGATATAATGTTGTAAAGATGACTTCGGGAGGCTTTTTTTTCTGATCAGTTATCCTTTAAACGGAATCGTGGAAACAAAGTAATTACCTTGAGCATTCAAATTAGCAGCGTGAAGAAGGAGCATGATAAGGAACAGCAACATGTTGTTTTGAAAACAAACTCACTCAATAAGTGGGATCCTTGCTTGGTTTTTAATCGACTCTGAGATACTAGATAGTGTGAGCTGACAAACAGACCTGAGTATCATCAGTGAGTAATGCTTAATTTTTTCCTTACGCAAAAAGGATGTATTTACACAGTTTTACAAACTGTCACTTAAAACAACTTTGCTATTTGAGCCACCTGAAACATGTGTTCAAACAAATACATTCAAATTAGAGCACGAGCAGAAACGAAGGCAAACTTTTCGAATTATTCTGCTCCAAAAATTACAAAGTTTCAACAATTAACGTTGAAAAGTGAATCCTATTTCCACCGATTTTAACCTGTACGAGGTAAAGAAGGACAATAGGGATTGCGTGTTTTAAGTTTCATCAATTTAAGTTTCATATATAATTAATTCAAAAAAAGATAAATAGAATTGGTGTCTTTATGTACACGGTTGGTGAAAGAGTAACAGTTGTAATAATGAAGTTTGAGAAAAAAAAATCTAATCGGCAAGACATTCCAAAATGCCTTAGTTGTGACCCAGTTACCAAGAGATTTTGTGCTGGGGTGCTAGGGGAAAATAACCGCAGCAACCCCGCCGTGCGGAAGATTCGGAGAATCTTGGATCAACAAAGCTTCCTCTTAAATGTACCACTGCCTTGCTGTTACAACGTCTTCAGAATATCCCCTCACTCTCCTCATTTCCCGATAAAAATTAAAAAGCAGCGTGCTTATATCCTCATTTGTTAGAGTTTTCGAACCTTGCAAGTTGATACTATTCAGAAATCAAAGAAAAGTAGTCTACTTATTGTCTCCGGTAAAATTTTTGCTGAGAGACACTGGTTAATCAACGGTTTATAAATTGTCTATCTGTGACTGTGATCGTTCATTTCTTTTTTCACTTTCAACTTAGGAAAAAATTCTTATCATATTAGTTGGGAGAATTTGATGTCGGATCAACTAATATTCACCTGATTTATATTTTTAACTATTCTCACCACTTGCCTTCTTGATATTGTACTGATATTGTATTGATATTGTATTGATATTGTATTGATATTGTATTGATATTGTATTGAAAGAAATCATACTTATGCTGGAAAATGAAACACAGGCTAGGAGTAACACCCTCTTAGCTTAAGAAAACGCTACCAATTTGCTGCGAGGATTATTCAGCTCTATAGGACTGGATCCAAATGCAAGTAAATCATTGAAATGCTTAAGAACGTACACGACTTAGAGTAGTCATAGGCCAGGTGATCACCCTCATTC